AAGTGGTCAGACTGGCATTTGTACTGTGTGGTGGGAGATGTTAAAATAGCGATGCACAGAACCCTTTCAAGCAATTTTTATGTCAGAGAGAGACTTTTGGAAAGAAATCTATAAGTAGCGATTTGTCACCGCGTATGTAAAGTGGCATAATTTCAGACACTTTTTTTTCCCCCCAGATCAGAAAGTGTTATACCCAAAGTGAATAATAAATCAAATTGAATCTTTTCGTCTTGATATATACATCTCTGAGGATATTATTTTTAGAGCTAACATTTATTTCTTCATTCTCTGTAGAACTGAAGTCCAATTTTATAACTTTGCAAATTTTTTTCAATCACCTTCTTTGGTGTAACAATTACAAGTGCAACATATTTGTAATAAAACTGTCAACCATGGTTCAATTCAAAATGTATCATGGGGCAGTCAGACTTCTGAAGGGGAGAATGTGTCTGGTACTTTTCTTTGAGAAACAGTGAAGGTGGACTCTCAGGATACTTAAGAATCAAATAGCAATTTCCCCCACATCAAGGAAGTTTGGAATCCAACTTTTTATAATTCTAAAACAAAATCTGAGCGTACTTCTAAACTGTTGTTTCCCCCTTTTAGAGCCAATTTTAGTGGGCAACTTCTTTTCCTCAACTATTGTCTACCCTGAAAAAAAAGTTAGTTACATGTTGGAGAAAGCAGTATTTAACCCTAAATCACTTGTGGTTTTCTCATCAGTGGGCCTCTTGAGGTCATTGTAATTCTTATGGTTATTTTTAAATGTGTGTTTGTGAAATCTAAAAATGAGCCTATCTATCTCCCCACCATCCAAAATATGTAAGTCCTCTATTCTTTATACACTTAATCATTCTGAATATACACTATAATTACTTAATGAAACTGCCCTCTTGAGTTTATAAATCAGAGATTTAACCTTCTTGGGGTCATGGATAGGCCAACCCAAAGTATTTCTTGATGGCATGTTGATTATTGCAAATTAAAATTACTTAAGAAACAGTGGGTCAAGAGGAACACTTCTAATTCTTCTCTATGTCTTCCTGAAAGCAGCAAATAGATCGCTCATATTAAAAGTTTCCTCCCGCATGAGGTGCAAGGGTGCCATTATGGCTAGAGAGTGGGAATTCGGGCTGAGAAATCTGTACACTCAAAATAGCCTTGTTAATTCCGTAATTTGCTGCCCAAAGTCCAAACTCTGTTTCGCTTCTTCAGTAATTATTAATTAATTAATTATTTTCACTTGAAGCCCAAGTTCTTTTGTCCTGTTAATTGTTCACAGATTTATTCTTTGTCCAGAAGTGTAAATGCTGCCTGCTCCGGCCATGTCTTCTGTTCTATTTCTATGGGATCTTTGTGTGCATGCATTAAACTTTGTTTCTTTATCTCCTATTAATCTTTCCTGTGTCAGTTTTATTATTATTCCAGCCACAAGAGCTCTGGGTAGGTAGAGGGAAATTTTCCCCACCCTGACAATCTCATTGCCCAAGTTTTTGATTTTGTTTACAGGAGCCAAGGTTTCAGTTATTCAGAAGTAAATGTTTGATGATCTGTAGTGTTCATCTCGTTCAATGCTTTCATTGCAGCAACACTTTATAATGTAATTTGAGGAGATATTGTCTCTGAGGTTTCTGTTTTCTAAGAGTCAACATTTTATAAGAGGAAAGCAGTCTGAAATTACTGATGATCCTTTTCTACATAAGCCAGCAAAATATTGTACTTGAATACCCTTAAGATTAAACAAATCATGAAGAATTTTGAATACAGTAGTTCAATAATACATTTTTGGCTAGGGTTGCAACCATTGTTTACTTAATACATGGATAAAGGTTTACTGTTTGAATGCTGTCTCTTAAAACAAGCTTATGTTTATAATTTTCACATTTATGTCTTCTCTTAATTACATTTTAATTCCTAGAAGGATAGAGGTCTTATTTTCTGCATCCTCTTAAAACAGGTTTTTTTTTTTTTTTTTTTTAATGTAGTAGGCATTCAATTGCCAAAGTAAAGCTCCACTTTTCTAGTGATTCTGAGGGTTAACTAAATCATAGTGTGGGTATTTTGGTAGGGTATTTGGGATTCCAGAGTTTAAATGTCAGGATATTATGAGATTAATTGTAATGTCCTCATGCCTTCTGAAGCAGCCAGGTGGTAGTGACCCTATATAGAGATTTCCCTAGGTGAAAACTCTGTCTGTGGAGTAGAAGTTTAATTAGTGATTCTTCTTTGCCACTTTGATCAGTCTAAACCTCTGAGTTATATGTAATTTATTACGAAGATATATTACCTAGGAAGTTTCACAGATTCATCTTTAAAGAACTGAACTTCTCAATATGTGATTCTGTCCATTATCTCCTTAATGTTGGAAATCAGCAGTATATTCGTGCTAAAAAATAGCATGAAAATTCTTTCATATTGAAATCCTTTAAGAATCATATTATAATTTCTTTTAAGTGAAAGGTATGAAAAAGACTGTGTTTTCTATTTCTGACTGACGTTTTAGTAAAGGAAATTTATTTATTGCTCTTAAGTCTTTAGTTCTGATAAGGGATTCTCTTTACTAATAGGAACATAATGTTTTGAAACATACATTAAATCAGCTTATGTATTTCCACAAGTAGCTTGTTCAACATCAAAAATAAATCATTACTTATTAGGAAATTCTTTATCCTCCGAGGTTAGAATAATGGAGAATGTCATCTCATTCTGAGATAATGGTGACACAAATCTGATCCTTTTAGCTTTCTTGGCAGAAGAAAAAAATCTATTCTGGAGTTTACACGTTAGTGAAGTTACTTTTCTGAGATATGATTATGTAACAAAGAACAGGCTTTATTTGAGATATTTTAGACAATACCTTCTTACAAGTAAGAAATAGACACGTGCATGTATGTGTGCATGGGCATTGCTTTAGAAAGTATGTATGGAAACTGTGGCAAACTTTTAATTCACTGGGTTACTTGATTTGTGAAGTTCATTATGACTATTCTGTGTAAGAGAGAGTGATAGTTCATAACTGACTTTGAGATGGCCATATCCTTTTTGGGGGCATGGGAATAAAATATAAAACTTAGTGAGAACCAACTGTTCTGATATGCTTTGGTGTTTTCTATTCTAGATCTCAGTCTTTCAAACCATAAACCTTTGATCTGATCACTATTTCTGGTATATCTGGACATACTTCAGGCATCTAGTTGCATTTCAATAATTCTAATTATTACAAACAGTGCTGTTTTCCTCCAAAAGAGGGGTACTTAGCCAAGAGCAATTTGTTTGGTCAACATAATGCTTTGTTAGAAAATAAATATTCCTAGTTCCAGGGTTTTTTCAAACTTAAAAAAAAATTTTTTTTTGTATTTCATAATCTTCCTTTAATCAGTCACTTTTACCTTGTGCTCTTTTTAATACTGAAATGTTGTGGTTCTGAAATATATCTTACAAGTGGACTAATTGGAAAAATTTATTGGAAAAACAGTAGATGCAAATATTTCATGTTAAGAAAACTATCCTGAAGAATGTGACTTGTGTGTCTGTATGTGCATAGAAGGTGGAAACAAAAATTGCCTCTGGATAAGTTAGAGGAGTTATGGTTATTAGTTGTGGATTTTCATATTTCCTTGCGCAAGGGCCATGCTAATTTTCTCTGTATCATCCCAATTTTAGCATAGGTGCTGCTGAAGTGAGTGTTACTTATCTGTAATTCTTGATTTCTCTTGAAGGAGCCTATCTTGTTTTTGTAAAGTGAACTCTGCTTCCATTTCTTATGTCTCAAGAAAAAGAAGGTCTAGTTCTAAGCTTTGTAAGATACATAAAGTGAGAGTTGAAAGACAAAACTGGGCCTAAGAAGGAGACTGAAAAACACCACAGGAAAAATGCCAGTGGGCAGGTTACATAGATGTGAGTGCGTGTATGTATATGTCCATGTACACACACACACACAGAGATTTCTTTTCTCAGTTACTATTCTGATCACATATTAAACAAGAGAGTGCTTTGAGAAAAAGACTTGACTAATAATACTCACATGCCCTATAAATATTCACAATGGGCTGCAAGCTGGAAGCTGGTCCATTCTGCCTAGTATTTTATTCCCCTGTGACTCCTTGCAGTGCAAGGAAAAAGATACTTGACGGAACAGACAGGATCAGCATGATACAGCTTCTGGTAAGAGATGCATAAAAGAGTGTTGCCTTGAGAACAAAGTCATACCTCATTGCAATTTCAAAATATTTTTAAACATTTTGTAATTTTGGTCAGTGTGTGGTCTCATATTTGCAGTTATAAAGCATTATATTTATGCATAATTTGCAGACTCAACACTTGGTGAGATTGTGGCTTCTCTTAAGACATCGACAGCATTTTAGAAAGCTTATGTGTGTGAAAGCTTATGTGTGTGTATGGAGCAATCACACTTAAGGGATGGGTTTCTGAAGACCTAGTATAGTTTAAAATTATCATAATTCAAGAGAATTTCTTAGAAGAATAAATATAAGCAGTGGATACCTCCTTCAAATGCACAAATATTCACGTTTCTAGCATATTTTAAAAATCATTTTTTATTTTCTCTAAGTTATTTGCTGTGATCTAATATTATTAATATTATGGACAAGCAGAATGGTTCTGTCATAGTTTGTGTCAGTTAGAGTCCATTTGGAAGTCAGAATCCACTGAGTGATTTGAACAAGGAAATTTATACTAAAGAATTATTAGCCACCACAAGGGACTATAGTTACTAAGAGTTGGCTAATAATAGAAAATTCTGAAGAATATAGGATCAGATGATGCAAAGAGGAACCCCTATCCCTAGGGGTGAGATAAAGCACCCAAGGAGGAACTGCCTCTTCAAAGCTGAGATGCAGATCTTAAAAGTCATGGCCCAGCTGTGGCTTGCTGAATGACAGATAAATCATTGTGTTGAAGCTCCGGAGGAATCTGCTGGAACTCTGACCCTTGGAACTTGTCAGGAATCTCCCTCAAGGGGGCTGGGGAGCGCTCTCGCCATGAGGTCTTCAGTTACAGGCTGCCTCAGGCAGATGACCGCGGAAGCTTCTGGCCGCTGGGTGCAGCCCCTACCACACATGCATGTGATGGAGCCCGGTGCCCTGGAAGCTTCTGTGCTGCCAGCGCAAGTCCGTGCCCCGGGAGAAGCTGCCTGTGCTGCAGGAGCCAGGCTGGGAGCACCCCAGAACAGAGGAGGAAAGGCTTTTTCCCATGCTGTGTCCTTCCTGTAGTCTCTCGACAAATGTTCGCGTCATGCCAGCTCGCCAAGGAAGGAGTACTTAAAGGGTCCTCCTGATTTTCACGGAGCAGGTGACGCAGGATGCATTTGAATCCAGCAGACAATAAAGTTGGTAACAGGCACAGCCTTTGTCTCAGTATTTTATTGCCTTAAAATTTTACAACCAAATTATTGATTCCAGGATTTTTTTTTTAAAACCCCTGGTACTAAGCACCATTATGGCCACTTAATCATTTGAAAAATAAAGACTATAAAAAATTTTATAAATTTTTTATAAATTTTAAAATCATGCTGATGGTAAACATGAAAATGATGACATAACATGCACCCTGAATTGTATACAAAGCATAAACATGTGTTTCTCACATAGTAAGTGTATTTACTGATTCAGGGAGGTGGGAGGGAGGTTCGAAAGGGAGGGGACATAGGTATACCCATGACCGATTCATGTCGATGTATGGAAGAGACCAGCACAATATTGTAAAGCAATTGCCCTTCAATTAAAAATAAATTTAAAAAAGGAGTAGTTAATGATTCAAATGAATTTAAAATTCAGCCAGCTCATCGTCATCTTAGAAATTAAGCAATTGGTGAGGTGTTTAATTTTTTATATTCATATTATTTTCTACTTTGTATAAAATGAGTTATAAATATATTTTTAATCACATTATTTCAAATTTTCTAAGTCAAGTTCATGTAAACTGTGCTTGGTTAAACCATTATCTTACTTTTTGCTGTAAGGAGAACAGACAGTGTAGAATGATCACTCTAAAGCTGTCACCAGTATAAGGGAAAAAATTTGCTCATTCTTCCAGTGATGATTCAGTCATTTTCCAACATCCTAAAATTGTTCATTCAACCTATGTTTGACTCATTCTCAATGCATAGTTAAAATTATATTTTGGGGGGAATTTCCTCAACATCTTAGCTATTTCACTGTTCAGAGTTTTACATTATTTTTAGAGCATAGTAATTTGGTGTTCTGGTCCCATAGCCCAGCATCTATATCCAAACCTCTAATTTGAATTAGTCACTCTGTAAAATTCTGCATGTCATTTAAGTCTTCTCTTTATCGTCTCAACCTCTGAATAAGAGGCACCATTTTCACTGATCATGCAGAAACCAATATCCCTCTTTTTTAAAAATGTCTTCACAGCTAGGAAAAATAGGCTTAAGTTGTATTTTATGAGCATTTCTCTTCAAGTTGAGTTTTCCTTCCGTAAAACCAGTGCTAATCCTACAAGGAGAAAAGCATTTTCCACGATGGGTACTCAGTCGACATTCCTGGCTTGCGAAAGACAATGATTTCATGTAAGAAGCTGCCAGGTATGCCACAGGGCTTTATATTAATTTGTGAAACATTCCTTTCATTATGTTTCCCGTTCAAAAATTACACACATTTGAATCAAAGCCCAATGACAGTGTCTAGTAACTGGAAAATATTTATTTCTCCTTGGAAATCTTACCTGCTTAATTACCCAATCTTTTGGGAACACAGCCAAAGCCTGGAGTGAGTCTTTTGTTGTAGGAAGAAAAGAGGAAAATAATTCGTGCTGAGGGGAAGCAGGTCCCTTACAGCTCTCGTGGGCTGTCTTGTCATCTTTGGTATTACCTTGCAAGGTTGCCGTTGGTCATGTGGTTTTGTGTCGTTGGAGTTCACATCATAGGATAACCCCAAGATAAAGAACTGTGTTCCTGCCCTACCCTACTTTTTTCTTCTGCTCTCCGATATTCATGTCCAACTTGTTCTGACTTGTTCATATTCTGGGAGTAATGGGGTGAAGTTAATATAAGACAGTTAACTCTCAATTACTCAGAGGCTAATTATCCAGGCTATTGACTGCACAGTCCGGCCTCTGCTTTTCCTGCCTTTTAAAGGGTGGTTGACTGCCCCTCAGCACTTAAACCAGACAAGAGTAGGGGGTGGAGAGGTAAAGTCATAAAATTCAAATCTATCTATTTTGTAGCTTATTAGCACTAGCTAAGAGCTTAGGTGACTGGCAAAAGTGTGGTTTGGGGACACCTGTATATTTAATTTAGCCGTACTTTTCCTTGTCATCTCTTACCGTGGATAATTGAGTTGGCTGCATTACCTTATGTTCATATGGTTAATTCTCAGAAGTTGGGTTTTTATTGCTTTGGAGCAGTGACTTAATTGGTACTTAAGGCATTTGAAGAAGGTAGGGTAAGCTATACAAATTTCATTTTTTTTTTTTTTTAAATAAAGAGTCTGAGACTAAGTATTCAAACTGAAAAATGGCACTTGGTGGGACTGTGGGCTAGAGTGTTTTTTCACTCTTTGGTCTGAGTTCATGGATACACAGATATGGAAGAATGACCTCATGATAATTCTTACCCCGTGGCCCCCAGCGCTGGTTTGTGGGTCTAGTATAATACAGCCATGCTGCTGCTGCTGCTGCTGCTGCTAAGTCGCTTCAGTCGTGGAGTTATGGTTTCAGAGTTGGCTTGGGATGTCTGTCAGTTGTGCCACTTATGGCTGGTAGAGCTTGATATGTATTTCACTTAGCCAAATGTATGGAATATAGTAAATGTTCAATAAAGAGCCTTGGACTCTAAAGAACGCTGAGTACTGAATAACTGATGCTTTAAAACTTTGGCGCTGGAAAAGACTCTTGAGAGTCCCTTGGACAGCAAAGAGACTGCATCAGTTAATCCTAAAGGCAATCAGTCCTGAATGTTCATTGGAAGGACAGATATCCAACGTTCATTGGTTACTGAAGCTCCAGTACTTTGGCCACCTGATGAAAAGAGCCAACTCATTGGAAAAGACTCTGTTGCTGGGAAAGACTGAAGGCAAAAGGGGAAGGAGGCACCAGAGGATGAGATGGTTGGATGACATCACCGATTCAATGGACATGAGTTTGAGCAAACTCTGGAAGATAGTGAAGGACAGGGAAGCCTGGCATTTTGTAGTCCATGGGGTTGCAAGGGGTTGGACACAATTTAGCAACTGAACAACAACAATATAGATTATCTGTCTGTTCGTGCTGCTCAACAACAATAAAGAGCCATTTTAATTCAATTTGTAGTAAATATAGTTTTAGTGGGAGGAGTACAAATAATGAAGTCTCTGAGTTATTTTTAATATTCAAGAATAAGTGAAACCATACATTTACCGTTGGCAAGACCATGAGGTTATTAATTAATGCAGGCTTATGTAGTAATTTAATCACAAATTATGGTTTATGAGGTTGTCCATAGTACAGTTCCCTTACTTTATAACTGCAAAAACATAGGCTCAAAAAGCACAACTGTTTTTTCGAGTTTACCCAACAGTTAAGGGAAGAGATGCCAGTGGGATAAAGACGTAGGACCAGTGGCTCCCAGTGCAACCCTTTCCCCAGAATTGCACTGATTTTAGAGCATCGATGACTTGGTTCCTGGATCAGGAAGTGACCTCCACTTACCTTTCCCTCACTGTCCTGCTCAGTCCTCGGTGCCTGTGTTCTTAATTTCTGAGTAGGAAATGGGATGAAAGAGTAACTTTTGGGAACTGTATGAACTAAGAGAGTTGGGAGAAAAAGTGATGGCAGCAAGTCCTTAGGTGGTAGTCAAACAAAATTCAGGGGAATGGAGTGGAAATAATATAAGGCAAGGCTTTTAAAAATAGATAGACCCTTTCCATATTCTTTTTCTACTGGCTGGGTGCAGAGAATCACAAAGCCCTGCGGGGTAGAAGACCTACAAAGTAGGTGGATCCTGAATCCCTGAATCACTGCGTGGAAGAAAGCAGCTCTCTGCACAGGATTATCAGCATTGAATTGCAAAGTGAATGAGAACCTTCTGTCATCATAAGCTAATGGCATCTGGGAGTATACTAGTATGACTCCAAATAATATTTGCACTATTTTTCACAATAAATGTAATAAACTGTCAATCTCTGAACCATAATAAATATGTACATAGGTATTTTATTTTCTTACAGAAAAGAAAACTCAGCTTGGCATAAATATTTATTTTGAAGAGGCTTCTTATAGTTGTTTGATAAACAATTCACGTTAATACTGTCAGTAGTATTGAAATATACATTTTCATTCTTCCAGAGGGATGGGATGGGGAGGGAGGCGGGAGGGGGGATCGGGATGGGGAACACATGTAAATCCATGGCTGATTCATGTCAATATATGGCAAAAGCCACTACAATATTGTAATTAGCCTCCAACTAATAAAAATAAATGAAAAAGAATAATATCTTGTCACGGCAAACAAAACAAATTATATTTCAATTATTTGGGCTAAAAACAATAGTGAGCAGAGCATGCCGAAATGCTCATACTAATGCAAGAATGCATAAAGTCAAACAAGGCAGCAGTAATCTAGTATACTTTTAATATGTATAATAGCTTTTATTCAACACAGCAAAAGGCCATCAGTGCTATGAAATTTGTGTGGATTTCTGTAACTAATATTTCTTTTTCATAGTGAAATCAAATTTGTGATTTCCTCTTTTGTCTATCACTTGATCAGTGTTTTAAAACTGTGTTAGTGTTTGCAGTCCCTCCTATTACCAGTCACGATCTAATCACCAGGTATTCACACTCGGGGATGTGAATATGCTTTAAAAGAAAAAGTTCTTCATTTGACCGTCCGCATACTCCGGATCGCCACTCATTTGTCTTCAGTGCTTCAGCTGAAACCCAACGCCAGCGCTTTATGACTCTCTTCCTGCCATCTTAGTTATTTCCTGCCATGCTGCTTTTCATTTCAGAGATTCTTTGCCATCATCGCCAACCAGGGGCTCCTTTCCCGGAAGTCCCAGTCTTACGGGACTGAGGCGTAGAGCTGACTTAAGCTAAGAGTCTCTGTGTCAAGAGCTGATGGGTGCTCCCGTTAGATCCTTCTGCCAGATTGAGACTGCCTAACCGATTCTTGGCAGGGCGGCTTTCGGATTCCTTGGCCGTAAGTGAACAGTTGTGTCTGTCCCTCTGCCCAGTGATGTTGCATGCAGCATAGCCTGAGACGGAATTCCGC